AGGTGGATTTTTTTGTTTGGGCATTAGGATGCCTTCAGGGAGTTTCTGGTTTGGCGTGTCTGGGTTTGAGCCACAGCACCTGAACCTGACTGCTTTGTTTCAGCAGGCACTTAAACAACTGAGCTAATGAGCAGGCCCCCAAAACGGGAGGATTTTTTTGTTTTCTGGGCGGGAATGAAATTAACCCCTAGGTCTAAGTGTGGGGCTTTCTGGGTTTGTCACCCCCTTCCATGGCGCTGGAGGGCCCGGAGGGTGCGCTGCTTCCCTAAACCCCAGCCCCCTCGTGGGCCAGACAGGGCTTGGAAGGGAGATGAAATGCTCTTTGAGGGCGCGGGTTGTCGCAGTGAGTTCAAACTATCCTAAATGCCAACTGTCCCTATGAATCAGATGCAGCCCGCGAAAGCCTGAGCCTGGGCTGCACCTGCTGCGGTCTCTGCGCTGGTTGTAGGAGGCCTGGAGCCGGCACGCCTGGTGCTCCCGGAGCTGCTCCACGCACGGCAAGGATCAGCACCGCCAGGGAAACTCCCCCCCCCCCCTCGAATACCATCGAGTCCCACATGCCCAAGAAAACAGGGAAGAGGCCTCGGTTAGGGTTCCCGGTGACGCTGGCTACACCTCCCTCTCCTGGCCTGGCTGAGAACTGCAGCTTGCGAGGACAAACTTCATCTCCCCGAGGCGCCCGGGCTCGCTCCGTCCACCTCTCTTCCGAGGCTTCAGAATCAGAACTCCTTTCTGCCACAGTGGTGGGAGCCGCTGTGCCGCTCAGGGTCCCCTGAGGCGGGGCAGCCTGACCCTGCAGGCAGCGAGTCAGGCTGACGGTTGCCAGAGGCAGCTCTGCAGAGGTCACCCGGCTGAGCCAGTTCCTTTTAACACCCTTGAGAGCTCAGGGCTCCAGCAAGGCCACAAGTCACCCTCACTATGCAGAAGCCAGGGTGGATATGTTGCTGTGGGTGACGCCGGAGGCTGTGTTGCTGACTCACCCTGCAGGGACCACCGAGCTAAGACCCAAGCCTTCACTCCCACATCACTGTCCCCAAATCGAGCGAAAGTCTAGGTTAAAATGAACCTAGACTAAGTACCCAATGCTGAGGGCGCCCCAGAAGCCCAGCTACTAAACCTGCCCAGTATATTAGCTGCTGCTCAAAGTGAGGACCCGGGCCCTGCCAAGGCCAGGGCTCTCTGCCGCCCGGCTGCAGGACTGCATCTGAGCCCAGCAGGACAGAAACGTCTCCCAACCTCGCTGCCTAAGAGCATCAGCCAAGCTCCACAGTCACAGTCGGGGCCGGGTTGGCTCCCCCAGACAGGGTCAGGCAGGGTAAGGTTCTGAGAAGCCCAGGAGGTGCAGCCGGTGACTCCTGTGGCCGAAGAAGTGCAGCACAGCGACGCCCTGTGTGGGCTTCAGCGGGGGCCTCGCGAGCGCTTCCGGTATCCTCCACCTCCCGGCGGCTCCCAAGCAGGCAGCTCCCAGAGCGGCAGGCCCCGCCCCCCCTCCGGGGCGTCTGGGGGCTGCCTGTCCCCTCCCACATCGCACACAGGTGACACAGGGCAGCGCTGCTGACCCTCAGAATGACTGTGTGCATGGGCAGAGGTGAAAAGAAAACACACGGGACCTCAGGTGTGTTTCATATACATATTTATATATATATTTCATGTACAAAGTTACATTCCGAACCCCAGGGATTCCGTAATAGAAATAAATACTGAAATAACTACATTGCTAACTGAGCTCTCTGCTCATAGAACCGAAGCCTCAGCCTCTGAGACAGCAAGCAGGACCTGCCAGGGCCCCACCGCAGAGGCAAGTAAGACCTAGGTGAGACGCCTACACAAAAACACACCAAAAACAGAATGGTTAAAACACCTTCGAATATTGAGAAATGTAGGACAAAATTATTAATAAAACTTTTAAGAGAAAAAAAGACATTTAGTGTTACAGAACAGCATAACCCTGTTAGAAAAGCATTGATGATTTCCATGGTTTTCTCCCCCTTTTCACGTTACAAAGCGGGACGCCCGTGTCCCTGTCTCAACATGATCGAGCGAGAAGAGCCTGGAGCCCAGTCAGTCCTTTGGTCGTGGTGGTAACACAGGAATCCCGCAGCTCCCCGGGGCTGGCACGACCCTCGCCCCAGGACGCTCACACGCGCCGCCGCCGCCGGCTTGTTCGCTCCGCGTGGTTGCTAAGGCAGTCGAGGTCGGTCTCGGCGTCCCTACGTGGAGGCTTTGCAGGAGGTGAGCACGGCCGTGAGCACCGCCGCAGCTGAGGCCGCACTGTAGCCCCGTCTATGCACACATACTTCGTTCTGAGAAGTCTTGTGCTGCATATTTTGTGCTAAAAATGACTTATATTCTCAAAAAGCTACAGCGTTTAAGGGATTCATTCCTCTTTTAGCAATTTAGATCCACACCGGTTACAGAGAAACATTCAACTGAGTTTCTAAAAACACATTCTCCCTTCTCCGCACAGAGGTTTGCGTTGCTAGTGAGTGTCGGCTGCAGCCTTGCCGGTGCCTTCTCCAGCAGCAGGGCCCACGCCCGGAGCCGCAGGCCCGGAGCCGCAGCCGAGCTCCACAGTGTCCTGGGCGCTGGAGAGCAGCTGCGGTGCCATCTCGCCCACAGGTTACCACCGTGAGCTAAGTGAGTGCTGCAGCGACAGAAACCTGTCACTGGGGGAACGAGACAGGGAAGCAACCCATGGGCACATTTTAACTGAAATTACAAGTATAAGCGCAAACCTTCAAGGGTACCCATACAGGCATTTTGTCCACTCCAGGGCCTGAAACAGTGACAGGCCCACAGGTAACTGGCCTCTGCGGAGAGGATGCACAGCTATGTTCCTCAGGCTACAGCGACTGTGACTTCAGGGACATGTGTCCACCTCTTGTCTGTCCTCAAGTGCTGACTCTCTAAGTACCCAGCAGGGCACGAGGCCTACCTCTGGGGTGCTTCCTCCTGGGCTCAAAACCCCCAAACACTTTGGTGTCTCCTTAGGAATTTATGCCACATTTTCAATAAACATTAAATAATTTTTTTTAAAAGGTATTGCCAAATATGGCTCAGATTTAAAATAAAATAAAGACATAGCAATTAAGCTATGAAAAAGTGGCCTAGATTTTGTGCAAAACATGACCCTCCGAACGGCTTTTGCTCGCGGTTTTGGCTGTGTGCATCCCGGTGCTTGTAGACGTGTGCACCAGGTGGATCCGGAGGCGCCCCCTGCTCATTCAGCCCCATATATTTTCAGCTCCAGCCTGAGTGTGTCTAGGCATGAAAGTCACAGGTATTTGACAGATATTTCTGCACAATAGTTCAGGACAAAAATCCCTGGCACCTAATGCTCAGACAGAGACCTGTGTTTGTTTTCTTCAAGGTAGTCCTTCCAATGACTGAGGACCTTTCTCCTATAGGTGTACTTTTTTTTTTTTTTTTTTTTTTGCAGAACCGGGGATTGAACTCAGGCCTTTGCGCTTGCCAGGGAAGCACTTATTCCACTGAGCTATCTCCCGGGCCCTTGGTTTTCCTTTTTTAAATTGGCCCCCAAGTTCTTATTTGGTTTTGTTTGGGTTACCGGTTAATCACCAATTGTTTCTTCCCCCTTTTTCAGGAAGCTTGAGGGGTTAAAACTACAGCATCATGGTTTTTAAAAACATATTGAACAAGAAGATCAGTTAAACCGGACTCCGATCTGTTTGAAGAGGACACTGTAAAAAGACGAATCCCAATCCCAGCAGCCTCCTGGCTTTGTTGTCTCCTTCAGTTTTCCCTTTGGTGGCATTTTAAACATAAAAGAATGCGAACCTCATGTGTGTGATTTACATTCAAAGGAGTGAATGTGAGCGGAGGAGGATTCACTTTACACAAAACAAAAGCAAGCAACTTTCCTGCCCTCCTCAGTCAGTCAGAGCGGACGACACCGCCAGCCACTGCGCTGTCACTGCCACCAGCAGCTGTGTGCAGCCTGGGGACACGGGGCAAACAAGTGAGTGCCTGACACGGGACCGGACCGAGAGTGAACCAACCACTGCGTCCTCTGGCACCAGGTATACAAAACACAATTCATTTAAAAAAAACCTCCTTCCAATGCTGAAGTGTCTTCTAAGTTTCTCCAGAAAACTTCTAAGCTTTATACATAATAAACCTCTCAGACTGTCAGTATGGAATGAGTGCAACTAGTTAAAAAAAAATCAGAATATTTAGAGAAGCAGGCCTCATAAACTTTAGAGCTCTAATAAAAAGAAAGAGGAAATTTTTATTTAAATAGTGTAGTCTTAATTTCTTTAATATAAAACCCCCCAAAATCTGATGAAAACGAAGCTTTATATAGCATATAAACAAGATTTGTCAGATTTGAAAATGAAGGTTAATTTACAGTTAGCTTTTAGCCTCTCGGGACAGTTAGATGAATCCTGATGCTCCACCTGCTATTAGTGTGTGTCAATTTTATAATACACTGGGGACACCTGCTATTGTACTTCGTTTATCAAGTATTTCCCATTAATTCCATTATTAGTGACAGCTAAAAAGTGACCCCATCAAAGGAAGCAAGTGACAGACGTGGCCAAGTGAGCCACACCTGGATTGCTTTCTGTAATTCCCCGGTTTGCAGACTGTCCACACTCCGGTCTGTTCATAATATACTGAATCTGCCTGTAACACTGGTGCGTAAGACAGCTGGCCCCTTACTGGGAGGGCAGGACAGGTTTTGTAATAGAAAGTTATCAGGAAAAATGCTCACGTCATATGTGGTGAAACATTTCACAAGAGAGCATTAAATAAAGGGAAGGTGAAATAAACCATGCAGAAGACAGCGCCCATCTCTGGCTGCTCCCGCGGGCTCACTCACTGCCATATGTCACTTGCCACACGATCAGGTGGCTCCTTTCGGCTTTGGTGACAGAAGGTTCCAGGGGAAGGTCCTCGCCAAGGAGTTCTGATTCGCCACCTTCATCACCTAGCGAGTAACAGGGAGACTCAAGTGAGGCTGAGGACAGGAGTGCAGCGCCAGGCCCTGGATGATGCTCGCAGTGCACCTGGGGATGGGATGTGAGCCAGCGGGCCCCCACCCGTGACAGCCTAGGAGGAGCCTCCGGAGGGCCAGGGTCCTCAGCCACCTCCACCCAAGGTGCTGCCCGGCCTTGCCAAGGGCCGATGCATTTCTCTCCACATTCATAAAAGCAAGCTCCTGTCTACCCTGGAAAGTCAGAGTGGTGTCCGCAGGCTATACTACCAGAGATGGAGAGCTAAGAGGCGAGGCGATGGAATTCCATGCTCATCCCAAAGCACCACCTACTCTTGTTCTGGCCACGCTGAGAAGTGACAATGAGGGTGACCCAATGTGCAGAGCTGGGAGGGAGCACAGTGGCCGGCCGGAGCTGGGCTCGGGCTCAACAGATGGGTGCTGCATTCTCTGTGACTGAGAGAGAACAGATGCAGCGACCCGTCCGATGTCCTTCTCAGGATTCTCAGCGAAGGGCAGGATATGGTTGATATTAGGATGGAAGGAGGCCAGGGAGGCAGGTGGGCAGCCGGGCACAAAGATGGGTTCAGCCCCAAGAGTGCCGTCCCTGCGCCATGCTACATTCCGGAGCTGTGCTGGCCAGTCTCATCCTAGCTCGTGCTAACCTGGCCACCGGGGTGAATTCTTCAGTAGAGCCATGCACAAAGGCAAAGATATATTACTGATCCATTAGAATTTTTATTTTATTTTATTTTTTTTGAGAAAGGGTCTGAATTTATAGTCCTGGCTGCCTCTGAACTCACTATGTAGTCCAGGCTGGCCTCAAACTTGCAGCTGTCCTCCTGCCTCAGCTTCTGAGTGCTGGGATTCTCGCCTGGTGGTCCAGGGGAATTCTGTAAAGTGCTTCATTTGAATTTTAGCAGGACAAAAAAGTACCAATTTTCATATGGTATTACACTACAGAGAGAAGCGTGCTCAGGACAAGATCAATTTCTCACCTAAAACCTAAATATAACCATGTTTTTTTTTTTTTAATATTTATTTATTTATTTTGTGTGTGTGTGGCCAGCTCAGCCCACCAGGGGGCGGGGCTGGCTGGCATGTGGTGCTGGGGATTGAACCGCGGTCCCTGTGCTTTGCTAAGCTTGTTCTAAGTAGGTGCTTTAGACCACTGAGCCATCTCACCAGCCCAACCATGTTGTTATGAGAAACTGCTGACCCCTGCCTTTTGAGTTGTTTTGAAGACTCTATTTATTTTAAAAAAAGGGGGGGTCCTCTACATTCTACAATTTAAATATGAATTGTTGGGATCAATTTCTTATCGTTAAAATAGTAAGAGGAAATTTAAAAGATCAAATTTAATTTTTTTTAAAAAGCATACATACTATTTATGTTTAATGACAAGTATTTTTCCTCCTGGATTACTAGAGATATTGCCAAATCTAGGTAAGCAATTTTTATGCTATTTCTAGGACGTGCAATGGAAGGAATTTACTGAAAGTGGAAAAACTACACAGATTTTTACTAATACATTCCTTAGAATGGTTTCAGTGTCCACACTGCACTCCAGGAAAAAGTAAAATCCACCCAGCCCAGTCGCCCCCCAGCGCCCTTCCACAAGGGGTTCCAAGCGCAAAGTGCTCCCCGCCTGCACACTCCACGGCAGCCACTTCGCCATCCCACCTCTGCCCCGAAGCTGTCACACGCCGTGGTCTGCGCACGGCCACTGCCGCGACCCTGATAATGTCCTCTACCCCTAGCCAAGTTATAGCTCAAACCCGTATCTGTTTTATTCCCTAAGGCCATTTAATGCCTCATGATTCTGCGTGTCTGTGTGTTTTATGCAATGTTTTTTTTTTTTTTTTTGGCAGAACCAGGGATTGAACTCAGGCCCTTGAGCTTGCCAGGGACGTGCTTACTCCACTGAGCTACCTCCCCAGCCCCTGTTTTATGCAATGTTAATGCTTTCCTTTAATTTTTAATCTGTGAATTTCTTTGAACTAAAGGAATTTTTCATAAATTGTTTTTGTTTCTTGATCCATTCTGCAAATTTGTGTCTTTTGATAGGGGAACTGAGATTATTCACATTAAGAATTGTTGATTTCTTTCTTCACCAGGAAGCACATCCAGGGCTGGAGAGATGGCTCAGTGGTCTAAAGCACCTACTTAGAACAAGGTTGGCAAAGCACAGGGACCACGGTTCGATCCCCCAGCACCACATGCCAGCCAGCCGCGCCCCCTGGTGGGTTGAGCTGGACACACACACACACACACACACACACACACACACACACACACACACACTAAATAAATGTTAAAAAAAAAGGAAGCACATCCAGGCCCTTGCGCTTGCCAGGCAGGCAGGCGCTGGGCCACTAAGTAGTATTTCTGGCCCCAGGACCTGCACTTTAGGAACTTTTTCTTTTCTTTTTTTAAAATTTTTTTGAGACAGGGTCTATTAATGGAGGTTTCCTTGGAATTCACAGTGAGCCTGCCTCAGCCTCCCACGAGCTGGAATTACAAGCAGAGGCCACCAAGATGCTCAGGCTGATTCGTGTTTATAGCAAACGTGTGTTTCCACAGTGCCTTGCGGTTTCCAAGTTCCCTTCCCCATTCCTCCCCTCTCCCTCCCTCCCCCCCTTCCTCTGGAACACCCTGCCTCTTTCCTGCCTCTTCCCCACCACTTCCCCTAAGGCTGCTTCTCCTCCCCATCCCTCCCGCTTCCATCTGCCTTTCTGCGTACACCTCAAGTCTCCCTCCTGGGACTAGGAACCCCCACCGCTCCTTGCTGTCCTCACCCTCACCGCGAAGTGGGCTTTCTCCTCCCAGGATGGCTTTCCTCTCTGAATCTTTGGCCAGGCCAGCCATTCTAAGTCCACACCACCCGCCAAGTCCTTTCCTGGCTTCCCCTCTCCTGACTCTTAGGGAGAACCCTGCCCAGCCCAGGGGTCCCGCTTGAGTTTAGGAGCGCAGCCTTAGCGCTGCACTGTCTGGTAATCTGCTGGAGGGAGGCATCCTGTGATGTTTCTGCATCTCAAGTTTAAGGCTCACAGACACAGAGCAGACTGTACTGTTTGTAAGGTGAGAAAAGGAACACATGGGGGAGATGGCTCAGTGGAGTAAGTGCTTCCCTGGGAAGCGCAAGGGCCTGAGTTCAGTCCCTGGTTCCGCAAAAAAAAAAAAAAAAAAAAAAAAAAAAAAAAAAAAAGGAAAGAAAAAGAACACATGGAATGAGTCTTGATATAAACCACACTTCAGGAAGCATTCTTCTCTTCATTTTGCAGGAGAGAAAACAGGTTCTCAGAGGTTGGCTGCCCAAAGCTTCCTAACACCAAATTTTAAGCCTTTCAAATGAAACTCAACAAATGGCCACTTTTAGCTATTTTTTTCTTGTCTTTTTCTGACAGGCTCTTGCTGTGCAGCTCAGGCTGGCCTTGAGCTTATGCTGTAACCCAGGATGGTCTCGAACCCTGGAGGATCCTGCTTGTTTCCTGGGTGCTGGGATGACAGGAGTATACCACGCCACCATGCCCTGCTCACTGTTGGCTACTCCTAATGCTATTTCAAGCAATACACTTTGTATGGAAAGGAATGTACACACACACACACACACACACACACACACACACACACACACACGCGCGTGCGCGCTCACACTTTCCCAAGTCAAGAGGCCTGAGCAGTCATTCCCAGGGCCCCTTTGTGGTTGTCACTGTGGGTAAGAATCAAGATCGAGGAGGACTCACCCATCCGGAAGTCGATGTAGCCCTCTCCCCCGCTGATGACCAGCATGGACTTCAAGGGCACCTGGCTGCCAGACGCCTGCGCAGAGGGCCCCACCTTGTCAGCTGCTAGGTCTGTGCCACCACTGCCACTTTGTGGGCTAATGACTTGACCTATTTTACACAGGAACAGAAGCGCCGGTTACTTATCTCTAAGGAGGGCCAGGGGACACTTTTTTTCTCTGAAGAAAGTAATGACAGTAATGACAACCTTAGAATCTTAAATAGTACAATTTTGTACTGCCCAGGAATAAATCCAAAGGCCAGTAGCAGACGGGTGCATGGCAGGGTGGGTCTCAGCTGCACCCCCATTACCCCATGTGGCTGCCAGTGTGGGGGCACTGTGCAGCTCTCCTGAAAGGAAGACACAGAACACCTTCTCCTTCAGCCCTGTGAATCTGCATATTCATACTCAACATTTAAACGGACTTCCAACCAAGACTCCCTCTTCCTCTCCCTACCCGTGTGCATGTGTGTGTGCAGCCCTGGGGACCAACCTCAGGGTCCTGTGCAGCTCAGGCAAGAGCTCTGCCAGTCAGCTACGGCCCCCGCCCTTTTAAAATCTCAGTGTGAAACACGTCTAAGTTGCCCAGGCTGGCCTCCAGCTTTCCTGCTTCAGTCGCCCAAGGGCACAGGCCACACCACGCAGGCTCTATGGCTTGCTGCTGCTGCTGCTGTTTTTTTTTTTTTTGGTGGAACTGGGGATTGAATATAGGAAAAGCACATCTTATCTTCTGTTTAGCACATGCAAGTCAGGTTACTGCTACATGTGCCATTTGTTCCAAAGTTCAGTTCTAAGGTCAAATCCTTGAGCATGAAACAGTAAAGAGAAACTTTATAAATATTATTCACACTGTGAACAAATGAACAATTTGCAAGGTGCCCTCCTAGAAAGCTTTGTAAGATTTTTCCTCGTCAGCATCTTCTATTCTTTGGTCCAATCACACAAACAGGAGCTGGCAGGACAGAACCACATGGTGTGATATGCTAAGCTGCCGACATGAGCAGTACTGCTGATTCACTATAGTTTTATACTCAATAGCCTAGTCTTGAGCACACTGCTAAGAAGGCCCATCTTTGCAGGGCAAGTGGTGCAAGCCTGAAATCCCAGCACTCTAGGAGGCCAAGGTGGGGGAGCTCACAGGTTTGAGCCTAGCCTGGGCAACTTAGCGAGACCCTGACTCAAAATGAAAAAGGGCTGGGGCACAGCTCAGTGCACAGTACACACACACACACACACACACACACACACACACACACACACACCCACCCACCCACACACAGAGTTTGGTCCATCATGATGGGTTTTTTTCATAGATGGGGTCTTGCTATATAGTCAGGGCTGGCCTTGAATTTGCTGTGTTTAGGCAGGGCTCAGGTTTGTGATCTTCCTGTCTTGGCCCTCTGAGTGCTGGATTTAACAGTGAAAAGTAGGGGGTAGGGCTGGGGAGATAGCTCAGTGACATCAGTGCCTGGCTGGCAAGCTCAAGGACCCGAGTTCGATACCTGGTACTGGAAAAAAAAAAAAAAAAAGAGAAAAACAGGGTAGAAACCTAGACATCAACAACAGAAGCATGAATAATACCCAGCACATTTATTCAGACATCAGAATACCACAGTTAAATACACTGATCTGTAGGTATAAGTGTATTCTGTAAGAAAGACACCGTGAGACAGCCCCAAGGAAAGGACTGTGCCAACACCCCTGATGTGCTGGAACGGTAGGCATGAGCGACATGTCACTTCCTGTCTTCTCGCAGAGGCCAAGTGAAGAATAACTGAGTGATGGCTGGCACCCAGGCAGTGGGCCTGTCCTACACACATTTAGGCGCATACTGATGCATACCTTTGGATAGAGGAGCGTGACGGGCAAAGACCCCTGTTCTTTTTGTCTTTTTGAGACAGGGTCCAGGCTGGCCTTGAGCGCACTTTGTAGTCCAGGATGATCTCGAACTCACAACAGTCCTTTCCTGCGTGTACCACAACACCCGGCTAAACACTCCTTTTTTTTTTTTTTTTTTTTGGCGGTTCCAGGGATTGAACTCAGGTCCTTGTGCTTGCCAGGCAGGCATTTACACTGCTGAGCTATATCCCCGGTCCATAAACACTCCTTTCTACGTCACACAGTTAGTGTGCAAGTTAGAGATGACCCCTTTTGCTCCTTAGAGGAAAATATTTATTTTTATATTTTTGGTGGAACTGGGGATTGAACTCAGGCCCTTGTACTTGCCAGGCAGGCACTTATTCCACTGAGCTATCTCTCCAGCCCTAAATTTATTTTTTAAAACACAGATCCTGCTTATACAAAATTTGTTTTAAACACTCAGCAGGTAGAAGGTCTCACTGGACATCCCGATGTTCCAACGACGCTCTCACTGACTGCCACAAGCAACAAGGTGGGCAGTGCAGGTCCACAGTGCTCTCAGCACACACATGCGTGCTGCTCCTTGTCCCCACCTGAGGGCATCAGGCAGGGACCGCCGCTTCCTGCACCCAAGACTGTCTCGGCAGGCCACCGTGTGGAAGGCAGGCTGCTGCCTTTCAAAAGCAAGGTGTATGGTAACATCTAGAAACTTTTTTTTTTTTTTTGGCGGAACCGGGGATTGAACTCAGGCCTTTGTACTTGCCAGGGAAGTGCTTATTCCACTGAGCCATCTCCCTGGCCCCAACATCTAGAAACTTGCACTGGGGGCTGGGGACCAATTTCGGGTACTTTCTGCACCCAAGCGCCCTCAGCGCTGCCCTGGCGAGCCTACTCACGTCACCTCACTCCCAGCTCTCCGCACCAACGGTTGGCTGCTGGGCCCAGGGAGCAGAGGAGGCTCATTTCCATGACAGGGCCAACAGAGCACTGTGACTTACCTGGGACAGCTACAAAGAATTTCACCGCGTCCCGGTGCCCGTGGAAGCAGAGCTGCGCATGCGCCATGGAGCAGTATGGGATGAACGTCCCTGGAGTCACTTTATCGCTGTTTTCATCACCATATACTCGAATGACACTCCCAGGACGATTTCCTGGTGCTCCTGAGGTTTTATTTGCTGCAATAGAAATATCAGACTGAATATTTTCCCCATAAGGCAGTGATGATGCAAGAGGTTACTGGTTAATTCTTATGATGTTATCTAAAAGCTACAGCCAGTGGAGGTAAAACAAGGGCAGCAACACCAGTTCAAGGCAAAGCTGGAAAAAAAAAGAGAGGTGGCATGCTCGTTATTTTTAGGTACCTCAGGAAATGGAGCAGGGGATTTTGCCGGTCTAGCATTTAACTACTAATTTAAAAAATCATTTTACTTAAACACCTCACAGTCTAAGGAAATGGCCATATGTTCTTTGTAGTTTATCTAATTTTCTCCCCTGTGGTAGGAACGCACCCTGTGAAGTGGGCACCAATGCGCCGCAACCCAGGGCAGCCCCACCCACTGGTAACCAAGGGTGGCCAGACTCACAATCACCCCTGCTCCGTGGGCCACGGGCGAGGAACACGGTCTAACAGGAGGCAACGGAGGGATTAATGACAGTGTAAGAGAACGTTCAGGTTTTTATTGGCAAGAAAACAAAGTCTGAAAGTGAGGTCAGCTGCAACAAAAGATGATGAACAGACGAAGCTGCTGAGCGGCTGGTGGCCGTGTCACAAACGTTAAAACACCAGCGACGATGCAGTGACTGCAGTGGGTAACACTGAGGAACATTCCAGGGGAGCTCTAGAGGGGGAGCCCCAGGGTAGCCAGGATCTGCACTTACCCCTCAGCCCCAGTAAACGTCCCTGGTGGAGGATTACGGCTGAAGTGAGAGAGGAGGAAGGGGACATGGAGGCGCACAGGAGGGGCGTTACTAGGGCCGCACGCCAGTGCCTCCCCCGGCCCTGCTTGGCCCTAGTGAGATAAGCCCCAGTGGGCTGCCTCACCCGAGGCTCCATAGGCCCTGCCAGGCTCCGCAGGAGGGCAGGTTCAGGGGATGATTCGGTTTATGACAATTTGGGTTTAATTTTAAAGCCACTTTCATAAATCTGAATCAAAATCTGAAGAACTTGATATTGAACATTTCCTAACTGCTTATATTTCCCTTTTCTTTTTCCTTGTGTAGGAGAACCTTTTTTAAAAAGAAATCTTATTAAGAAAAAAAAAAAAGAAATCTTATTTAGAAATGTATGCCAAATGCAACTCTCTTTTTTTTTTTTTTTTTGTCCCCTTTTTTTTTTCCTTTTTTTTGCGGATCCAGGGATTGAACTCAGGCCCTTGCACTTGCCAGGCAAGTGCTTATTCTACTGAGCCATCTCCCCGGCTCCTCAAATGCAACTCTTGTACAGAACTCTTGTAATGAAGTCCGGGGACCTTGGAATCTCTTAAACATAAGTCTAAACATGTGGACCTTTTTTTGCTTTTGTGAGGCAGGGTCTCACTATGTAGCCCAGGCTGGCCTTGAACTTGCTATGTAGCCCAGACTGGGCTCAAACTCACAGCGATCCTCCTGCCTCTGCCTCCTGAATGCTGGGATAGCAGGTGTGCACCCGTAGGCCCAGCTAAAAGGGCAGACTTATAAGTAACTTCAGAAAAGATAGCTTGAATTAGGAATGTGAGTTCTTAGAACTCCAGATCCACCTTCTAGTCCTCTTTCCCCTTTCCCTGAAAAAGGGGAGTGTGATTCGAGGTCTGTAATTCTCTGCCCATGAAGTATGCAACACAAAAACACATACTTGATGGATGATTAATGCAAAAGAAATATACAAGGTCCATTCTAGTCACAGAAATCATCGCACTCTCGTAAATGCACAAAAGGTAGCACGGCTCTAGAACAAGGACAGCTTCCCAACCTCCTGAGGAACTTCTCCCACATTTTCTTTCTGAACTTCCAACAGGACAAACAGGATAGCCTATAAACTACGTAATCCAGGGGAGTACAAAACTCTAGGATTAGCCTGGGCATGGTGACATACACCTGTAATCCCAGCAGATCCTGTCTGAAAAAGGGGGTCAGGAATGCTGGTGCAGCTCAGTGCGAGGCCCTGGGTTCAAACCCTCAATACAGCACAAGCAAAAAACAAAAAAAAAACTAGGATGAAGAGTGCTTACAGACAATGCTACAATAAGGTAAAAAAATGGACTTCAACTTTTATTTCAAAGATGGAACAGATTATGATTTCTACATTGAGAGAAAAAAAAGCCTCTTACAATGAAAAACTTCCGATCATGAACACTGGTTGGGATCCGTGGTGACATACTGTCTGCCGCACGCGCTGCATGAACAGTGACAGCTCCGCGCGATTTCCCGAGCGGCTGTGGATGCATGTGAACACGGGCTTCCACGCGCATCCTGGACCTGACCACTTCCCGCAGTTCCCCTACCTGTGCTGCGACACTTCTCTGGAAGCGTACTTACTTTCTGTCAGTGGGATGGAGATAATGACACCATTTCCTGTCCCCACCCACAGACGATTGCAGGACACCATGAGAGCTGTGATCCTCACAAAGGAGAAGCCCAGTTTCCCGGTACCTGTAGTGGGGAGAGAAGGGTGTTTTATGGAGAAACGAGAGCACACTGGGTTTCACACGCTAAATCTCAGAGCGGCTACAATAACCCTTGACTAAGATGTGCTGGAGATGGTGCCCTCCAAACACACCCTGGCTTGGCCTGAGCAGCCACCCACAGTTCTGCAAGTGGCCCTCACGCTCTCAGCCAGAGGGCGAGCACAGCACAGGAAGCACCTCCGTACATACAACTCAGGTTAGTGAGCACCTGGTCCAACCAAACCAAACCAGAAAATACTCAACAAAACAACTTTATTAGATTGGGAAATCAAATGTCCTCTGGTTGTATAAACTGGAAAAACTTCCGGTTTGCTTAAATTTCTTTTGTTGGCACTAAAGTCAGCACTAAGAACTGAACTCAGAACCTGGAGCTTGCCAGGCAGGGACTGTGCCTTCAAATGTTTTACATAACAGAGGCCGGGGAGATGGCTCAGTG